CCTTGACGTGTCGCGACGTATAACCGTGTACACCACATATGCTTGTATAAGTTAATAGTAGTGTTGGTAAGTTGGAAAATAAAGGTAAAAAGCTTTATAAACTCTCTCTCTCTCTCTCTCTCTCTCTCTTTTTCACTCGAGTCGAGTTGAGAGAGAATGGAGGAGAGCCCAAAGGCTGCTTGCTGTTTGCTGCTTGCTGCTGCTTGTGGATAATCGTGCACAAGTAAAATTAAAAATTGCATTATCGTACTGGTACTGGTGGTAGAATATACCAGTAATGAAGGCGGGCCCTTAATGTGGCCGAAAGGCACGTTAAATAAACTGGCACGCGCGAATCGCCCTACGCCTTCTTTTTTCTTTTTGCTTCTTTCACTTGTTGTTTTTTTTTTTTTGCAAGCTTTCATCCGCTCACACGTACACACACGTGTACACGTATATATGTTTACAGGGGTAGGTTATAATATCTATTTGTGTGAAAAGGGAAAGGGAAAGTAGACACTCGCGTTATGTTCGTTTAATAAAATATTCTTATTATTATTATTATTATTATTATATGTACTTTATTTAATTTATAAAAAAAAAGGAAAGATGGAAGAAGAAATAAAAGAAAAAAAAATGAATATATATATATATGTTTAATTAATTAATTTTACCGAAGTGGAAATGGGAATATATTATATTCGAAGTGAGAACGTTTTCTTTCCGTACGTAAATGTGAACCACATTTCATATTTACCGATCGATAAATAATAATAATAATAATAACAATAATAATAGTAATAGTAATAATAATAATAATGTATCACATATAAACCATTGGCGTCTTGGTGAACGCGTTTCATAACGAATTAAATGAGCGTAACCATGTACACTAGAGAGAAAGTGTATGTAGTTACACGTATATGTGTATAAGAGAAGAAAGGGTGGTGAGGAGAGAGTGGGTGGGTTGGTGGGGGAGGAGGGGTGCACAGGGTGAAACGGGACGTCGAGCGTATTGGATTTGTTCATACGGGCGTTCTCTGCGGCGGCGAGAGAAAATCCGACTTCGCGTGGAATTTTTTAATTAGCAAAGAACTTGGAAAAAAAAATAAAAAATCCAATGTGTGTGTAGGTGTGTCAGAAAGAGAGAGAGAGAGAGAGTGTGTGTGTGTGTATGTGTGTGTGAGAGAGAGAGAGAGAAGTCGATGCGACACGATGGCCCGTTACGCTCAACGAATAAAGTTGTCGACGTTCGAAGGTACTTTCCGCATGGACGGATGCGGGCGGACCGATCGAACGACACGGAAACGTGCTTGCCTGCTTGCTTGCTTGCTTGTTTGTTTGCTTGCTTGCTTGCTTGCTTGCTTGCTTCCTCTCGAAACGATGCGTCTATCATTGAGAGAGAGAGAGAGAGAGAGAGAAGATCATTGGAGGACGAGTGTCATCGTTAGAAAAAAACTTTCAGAGATAAAAAAATAAAAAAAATAATACTAATATAACGTACGTAATAAAGCAATTTTTTTTTCTTTTTTTAATTAATAACTTTACCCAAGTGCATACTTTAAAGTAAGAGAATTGCAATTATTAAAAAGTTTATATGTCGGTGAATTATTTTTGTATTTCTAATTGTTTGCTCGTGATCTACATTGTGTTGTTACGTTTGTAAGATAGTTAGGATTGTTTCTTTTTTTTTTTTTTATTGGATTAAAAAAAAATATAACGTAAGTTAGTAACGAGTTAAACTAGTGAAACAATTTGTTATGATAACACAGAGACGATTGAAATATTATCAGAATAAAAAGAAGGGTTTTTACGTATGCGATTGTAACATGTCACACGAGATTGTTAAAAAGTATAAACATAGGAAAAAATATCACAGAAAGAGAGAGAGAGAGAGAGAGAGAGAGAGAGATAAAACGATCTATCTCACCCTTACATCTTTATCTCACCAGTGAAGCACCCCTGGTGGTGCCTGTACACGTCGTTGTCCATGCTCCCGGGGTGAATAAGGGTGGCGCCACGCGTAATGGGCTTACGACAGTGTTAAAAACCCCTCTTATCCCTTAGCATAATGTCGTCCGAGATCCCGATAAAACTTCCGCACAGCACCGTTAGTTAAATGACTCTACGAACGACTTTAAATCGCTGAATTTGTTCCGTTTCACTCTTGTGTGTATTACTTTTTCTTTCTTTCCTTTTCTTTCATCCCACTTTCTCTCTCTTTTATAATATCCCTCGAATTCTCGATTAAACCAACCCAAAATAAGAACAAAATGATAAGCTGTGTTTTTTTTGTTATTCGCGGTTTGTCGCGAATGGCCCATGTCAACGATACATTCATAGAAACGATTAGCATTTACTTTCTTTTTTATAGGTCCCATTTTGTATAACAACTAATGATTAAAAAAAAAATCCACAATTTTTATTTTATTACATGTTTATCTATTTACTTATATTTTATTGGATATTTATGATATTTATCTTGCAAATAAAATTTGACTCACCAATGCTTGTCCGATAATTTCCACATGGCATCAACGTGGAACCATCGGCGTTTGTTCGATAATTTCCGCATGACACCAACATGGTGCCACTGACATATAATATTAAATACAAACAAATACATATATATATAAATAAATAAAAATTGAAAGATAAATGTAAAACAAAAGTATGGAGAATCCTACAGTACCATACCGGCCGTAGGGTTTGCATATACCGGCCGATATAAACGCAAAGGTAGAAAAGGTAAAGGTTCTCGCGAAGTCGGGAATCATTCACGCCTTGGACGAAGGGGCGCGCATAAGCTTCAACCCAAAACTCCATACTTGGACGCATGCTTCCATACGAATGCGAACAGTCCATAATACGTCCCATATATGTATATATGTATATATGATAGAAGTAGTAGTAGTAGTAGTAGAAGAAGAAGGAAGAAAACGAACAGTCCATAATACGTCCTGTGTATGTGTATGTGAGTATGAGTGTGATAGAAGTAGAAGAAGAAAGAAAGAAAGAAAAGATAGGTTAGAGTTAGCTACTAGCGAACAAACTGAGTACACTAGTAAAATAGTATGTGTGAATGTAGGGAAAGAGGGAAGAGGGGCTTGGGGGTATTCGTCTTCAGCCCCTTCCTACGACCGTGGCAACGCTGCGATGGTCCATGGGCGCAGCGATCAATGCCACCGTCGGCTCACTATGATTCATCCCCCACCATAAAAGACCCGTCGCCATGACGACAGCATCCCTCTGGTATCCCCACCAATTGGACAAACTTATACATGGTGGGAGAAGAGACTATCGAAAAGCCACCGAAGGGGTAAAACCATCCCCCTTTCTCTCTCTCCCTCTCCTTCTCACTCTCTCTTTCCGTCTTTCTCTGTTTTACTTTGACCAAGTAGCGCCGCCGCAGCAAGGAATTTCTACCTAGCCGATGTTCTCTTTCTCTCTTAGGGGTAGGGGGAGAAATGGTAAAGGGATTTTCACCCTCTCGTACGATCCTACGCGTGATCCGTCAAGGGTCAGGTGGGTCACTTCAGGTGACTCGGACACTGGCCAGGACACTTCTTCTTCTTCTTCTTCTTTTTGTTAGTTTTCTTCTATGTTTTAAATGACAACCCCCTACCCAATCCCATCCCCCTTCATTCCCATTACTTTCGTTAGAAGAGAGTGTGTCATAAATTTGGGTGATTTGAAATTTTGTTGATTTGTTTGATTTATTTAGAAAATATAAATAAAATATAGGAAAATGAGACTTTTATTTAATGTTTGCTTTTAAAGATTGTAAAAGATATAGTCAGATATTAGTAATTTATCTAGACTAGATAATATCGATGTTGATAATATATCATAAATCTAAATAACACGTCTAACGTGTGTGTGTGTATATGTATATGACAGATAGTACATCTTTACTTTCTCATAAGTTTCAGTTAGGAAAGTCGGCAAGATTGATCTTTGCTTTACCGACTAAAACCAACTTTGTTATATAGAAAAACAGTAGAAGGAAAGAAAGAGACAGAAAATGAGATAGTCAGAGGGGTAGTAGGAAAGGGGAAGAAAGAGATGGGTCAAATGGAGAATGAAAGAGAAAACTCGATGCAGTTGTAAATCGAATTACCCGGCCTGTTGAAGATAATGATATTTATGCGTGTCAAGTGTACAATATGTGTTATCATTTACCCATACACATATACATATAAATATATGTATGAATATATGCCGTTAAAAGAAAAGAAGACACGAAGAAAAAAAAAAGATATGAAAAAATGGCGGGAAGTTTTTGAATATATACGTTACCCTAATAATTTTTTCCCCTTTGTAAAATGAAATGATAAATGTCATCTTCTTCTTCTTCTTCTTCTTAGTTTGATTTAAACTTGACAAAAAAAGAAATACTTTTATTCGATTTTCTTGAATGACTGACTGAGTGAAAGATAACTAAATTATCAAACTTTATAAGTTCAAAGATTTGTTACTTTCTCTTTCTCTAGAATCAACAACAACAACAAATTGTAAAAACGTTCGATGTAGAACAGAAAGAGAGAAAGGGAGAGAGAGAGAAAGAAAGTTAATATATACAAAACGAGAAACACGGGCAGGGAAAAGCTTAGGAGGTGCTTGCAAGTCCACCACGGGGGTCTTCTCGAGCACAAAGTTTTCACATTGTCATTTGGGAAAAGCGAAAAGGCCGAATAAGAGTAAAAAAGGTAGATAAAAGAGAAGGGAGGAAGGAAGGAAGGAATGAAGAAACGTGTATATATATATATATATATATGTGTGTGTGTGTGTATATAAGTGTGTATGTATGTAATGTAGTATGCGTGAGTGTAAGAAGGAGACAGAAAACCCGAGGTTGGACCCACTAGGATTCATCCCCACGAGGAAGGGGTAACGTCTAGCATGTTAGGGGTACAACCGGTGGTGGGAATATTCGAGGGGAAGATTCGAGGGGTGGGGGAGCTATATAAGACCGGTGCGAGGGGGGGAGAGCTCAGTTCGTTCAAGAGTAGCGTATCGGACACGTCGTTCAGTCGAAATTCAGTCGTAGTCGAGACGCCGGAGTATTTTAATACAAAAAAAAAAAGAAAAATATAACAGGGCTCGTTTCACACGTACTACGGGGATCGTCAACTGATAATAATATTCTTATCGTATATTATAATATTTTTTTTTATCTATCTATCTATCTATCTTTGTTTTATCTCCAATTTTATAAATAAATTTTGCGCTAACATTTCGAGAATTTATCTCGGGTTTTGATTTCTTTTATTGGTAATATTTGTAATATTTGATAAATACAATTCGCGAAATAATTCAAAGGGTTTTCCGTCATTTTCGTAATCATCATCGTCACGTCTTTTGGCAACTTTGGCATCATTGGCATCATCGTCATCATCTTTGTGAAGAGAACGAGACGAGGATGTTCAGAAGGTGTTGTATCTTGACAGATATTTCACTTCGTACTGGAAAACTTCCATATTTAATATGTAAGTACCTTAGATAATATCTATATATATAAATATATATATAAAAATATATATTTTGTTAAAGGGTTGACGTTAATAATTTCGAGCCATTTTACAATATGTTTTTGAGACAGATAAGATCGTTTTATCTTTATCTATCTAGCTGGGAAGCTAGGCTATCTATCTTTCTCTCTCTCTCTCTCTCTCTCTCTCTCTCTCATGCTCTCGCACTCTCTCACACAAGTATCGGTCGTACGGGATCGATCGGTTCACGATGAAAAGGGATTACCTCGTTCGTAACGTTCGGTGCGTATGTCGAAAGCTTTGCTTTTTTTTTATGTTTTTTTTTATTTCTTTCTCCCTCTCTCACTCACTCACACTCTCTCTCTCTCTCTGTCTCTGTCTCTGTCTCTGTCTCTGTCGGTATCTCTGAAGTAGAATGTTGAATTTTCAAAAATTTATAGATATGTACATAAAAAAAAAAATATGGTAGAATAAATATATTTAGTCAAACCTATCTATAGATATCTTATCTCGTTTTTCGTTTGAATTATATTTTTTCCTTATCGTATTTGAGAATATTTATATTATTTGTAAAATTAATTAAATATTATGGTTTTTATGATATTATATATATTTTTTTTAAATTTTTCTTGTAAGTAAATTAGTATAATTTGTTTTTTGTTTTATTTTGTTCATAGATTAATCAGACTATCCTTAGAGAGAGAGATGATAGATTAAATTATTGTGTAGAAAAAGAAATTAATTATCGCGAAATGAATTAATGATTAAACATAAAAATGTTATTTTCTTTATTGAAATGTGAAATTATTACAATAAACTTATTTATTATTGCAATGTTAAAACAACACACGTGGATTTGGATTATTTTCTATTATCAAATATTTTTAAATCATTTTTACTTTTTATTTTCTATACTTTTCGTAAAAGTTTCGTAGTTGTCGTGGCGTCAAGTAAAGCAAATTTGTACTTTTTCCCTTCTGATTTGTCATTTCTTTTCCTATTTTTTCTCTTCTCTCTCTCTCTCTTTCTCTCTCTTTATACATAAACGAATTATTTTTAATGGTCCTCTTGGTCGTCTCATAGTCGTCGTCGTCGTCGTCGTCGTCGTCGTCGTCGTCGTCGTCGTCGTCGTCCTCGTAGCAGCAAGTTCTTCATTTCCTCTCGAGGTTTTTCTTTTTACATAGAAAAAAAAAAAAAAAAAAAGAAAGAAAACACAAAAATAAAAAGATCCTCAACGAAAGAGTGTATCGCGAAAAAAGCTTGTTTACAAATTGGTATACTTTGAACACGACACGGACCAAGAAGAAGAAGATGGGCCCGTGTCTTTTACCATTAATGGTATCGAGGTTGCATCAAAGTCACTTTTTCTTTTTTTTTTTTTTCTTCTACTCTCTGTATATATTTACCATCTCATCTTTTTTCGTTTTATTTTGTTTTTTTTTTGTTTTTAAACTAAATATTAACGTACATATATTACACATATTGTATATAAATTAAATTAATAATATTATTAATTATAATAACATTGAATAAATAATATTATTAGAATAGAGTTAGTTGATTTTCAAATGAAAATACGAGAGAAAATACGAAAGAGAAGAGAGCTGTGTTAGTTGTAACAAGAACATCATGTATATATATGTGTACACACATAATATATTTAGTATTATATTTGCCTTCAGTAGAAAAATTGACGCATCCACTGTGCGATAAAAAGTTACTAACCAATGGGAATAGAAAGAGATAGAGAGAGAGAGAGAGAATTGAAATAAAGAAAGATACTAAAATAGTACGCGCCTAATTAAGTCATACATCCATGCATGTAGTAACTGTCCTTTTTTTTTTTTTTTTATTACTAGAGAATTTGTTTTTATCGTGTGTTACGTTTATACACTCGACCAATGTTCATATATATATATATATTATATTTTCGTGTATTTATATAATAAAATATAATTATATAATTTATAAAAATATAGAAATTATAAAACCTAATAATTAATTAATAATTATTGTATATATATATTATTATTATTATATTATCTTCTTAATAAATATAAATTAGGTGTCACGTTGTTTGTCCGCAATGGACTCGTAAACTACTGAGCCAATTTTAATCAATTTTTCCACACTGTGTGCAGTTTCATCCAACTTGATAGATAGAATAGTTTATATAATATATATATTTATTATAAAATTTAAAAATATAAAATTTAGAAAACATAAATATATCATATATAATATATTTATAATAAGAATATAATTATTATTATACTATTATAACAGATAAATAATAATTGGTAGTAATAATATTATTTTAAGTATTAACATCTTTATAATACTAAAATGTTATAAAATTCTTGGGAGGGTAGATCATATTAAGAAATTGACTATATAAGGGTTGAAATATAATTGTGTAGACATATATATACGTTGAATAAATAAACTTAGTATGAATACAAGGGTACACAAGAACGAACAAACAAATTTTCAAATATTCTTTCGAAATTGTAAAACACAATGGACCACAATGGTATATTTCAAACGTTCAACCATACAACACACATACGTACACATACATACACCCACACAATAAACACAATACGCAACGTAACATTCTTTAGAACAGTCACAACCAACCCACATCGTTCCTTTCTTTTTGGTCAAAATGTTAAAATGAGAAAATAAAGAGAAATGGTAAAAAATGTTGTAGCAGTGGTTCTTTTTTTATGGTATTTTGATAGTACTTCTCGAGGTTGGGTTTTCATGATAGTGGTGATGTGATGAGAGTATTATGGGATTAAGAAATGAAGGAAATAGAAAAAAAAAGAGAGGATAAATTCTTTATGTACTCTTTTCTTTTATTTCCTGTCGTTTATTAATACTTTTTATTATACTTTTGTGAAATATCACATCACATGAATCAACACGAGCTTTATTTTTACGTTAAAGTTTAGATGTGTAAATATTTTATTGCAATACATATTCACACACACACACATATATATATTTTTTAAATATATCAATATCTATTGACTACATATACATATGTACAATATACGTACGTATTAATTTCTATACAGGGTGATTCACAAGCTCTTGCAACCTACTATCATACTTTCCAAGTTATTTAGGTGGCAAGATTTGGTGAATCACCCTGTATATATAAATGTGTATATATGTGTGTGTATAGATATGTAACTGAAATCACAGGGTTTTTTTTTTATTCAATTTGTATAGTAGGGAAATTTTATTAGTTCGATACATTTTATTTATTTTTGTCAATATAGATAGTCTTGTGAAAATTTGATTACACTCGGTTTTCAATATTTTCAAATATATCGAATGGTTCCCGTGAAAATATAATGACAAATTGTTTTAAATAATAATAATAATAATAATAATAATAAACTATGCTAATTGCTTATACAATTCGTTGAAATTAATTTAATATTAATGCACACATTGAAAAATGAATCTGATGTTATATTTACTTTAATGAGGAAACGAAAAACATTACCGATATATAAGTTTATATGTTATCATCATAAACTAACATATTCACACACATACACCACATATACACGCAGATAAAAAGAGTATCATTTCCTATCTTCACTCTTTCTCACTGTATTCTTTGCTAATCCGCAATCAGAAATATTTCGCATATTTTTTCTCTTTCTATTTATCTATCTATCTTTTTCTATCTCACCACCATCACACACCATCACACCGTTTCTATATAAAAATTGTTTTTAAAGAGAGAGAGAGAGAGAGAGAGAGAGAGAGAGTTAGGTGGTACCGTTAATTAATATACTAATGCGAACGTGCCTCATTAACGGTTTCTTTCATTAAATATTCACACACTAGTCTAACTGCTTATGTGTGTATGGGTTCCTCTTCGTTCCTGCATCAACATCGATTCAATCGCATTGTGAAAGGGTCGCCAAATGAAAACTTGTCGTTTCATATACCCTTTTACCTACAGCCCGTATACTTCGTATCTTTTCTTCTCTTTTTTTTTCTTTCTTTCTTTCTTTCTTTCTTTCTTGGTTCACGAGAGTGAGAGAGAGAGAGAGAGAGATGTTGGTATAGTTTACAATGAAAATGAGTAAAATGAATGCCATTTATGTTCTCGGTATCATTGTTTTTATTAATATAAGAAGAAGATAAAAAAATTAGAACAAATTTAGGTTATATCGAAAAAAGTTTATTTACATATATATAAATATCTTTTTTTTTTAAATAATAAATATATTTTTATAATACTAATGTTATAAAACGTAGATTTGTAGTTTTAAATTATTTAAATGCAGTTAAATTTAATCTGAAGAAAATTGTGTTACGTGAAATAAATTGAATTGTAATACAGCACCATCTATTGGAAACTTAGAGAACCTCGAGACCTAGCTAACCTCTAAATAAGAAATTCTTAAATTAGGAATTAAAAATTAAAAAACAAACGTGTTGAAAGGGAAATAACAAAAATTTCATTAAGTTTAGAATATTTTTGAAGTTCATTGCAAACAAACAATGTCACACTGAATTTTTATATTTATATTGCGATTATAAATTGAAATATAAACTATAGTATCTTTCAAGTTGGATGAAATTGCACACAGTGTGAAAAATTTGATTAAAATCGGTTCAGTAGTTTACGAGTCCATTGCGGACAAACTACGTGACACCTAATTTATATAAATTGATTTTTAGTATCTAATGTAGTCATATATTTATTGATTAACTACATATGAAAACAAAGTACAATATTTTACAATTGATAAGATAATTTATAATTTAAATCATAAATTTTTATAGTCAATAATTAAAGTAATAATTTTCATTTAGATAATGTTTTGAACACGTGATCACAAACAAAAAACGAAACGAGAGAAGGAATGCAATTGAAATTGATAAAATAAATGTGTATGTATTATTTACGAACACATGATTCATGTTGATAATAATGATGATAACGTGTGGCATAAAGCTGATTC